TGTTTTCTGAATGCAGACTGGATCACAGTGGCGGCCTGATGCCAACAATGAACCTCCTTCCTGACCTGCTGCCCTCTGAACGCTGCCTGCAGGATGACGGCTGCTTTACGGATTTGTTCATATTGTTTCCTTTGTTTCTTTGTGGCTGCATTGGCCCGATACCTGCGCTGAACGTTGAGCACGGAGGATTTTAAGGTGATATAGCGTCTGTGCTGGCAGTGGGCCCTGTAAGCTCTCTGGATAACACTGGCAGCCTCATGCTTTAGTTTGATGATTCGTCTGGATTTCATTCCACGGAAGGCAGCTTGTAAGACAACAGCAGCATTCCTCTTGGCTCTTAAGGCGTGCACCTCTGCTCTCATTTTTTTGTTAGCTCTGTAACGTGCTTGCAGTACACTGGAAGCCCAGCGGAGCTTTTTGTAGTTGGTCCTCTGCTGGTGCTTTCTGAAGTGAGACTGAATTGTTACAGCTGCCATATGCTCGATACGCAGCTGCTTTCTAACTTCATATCCTCTGTAGGCTGCCTGCAGACAAATGACTGCGCTGCGCTTTGACAGATAGTCCTGACGGTCTTTTCTTGCCAGGATCACCGCTCTGTACCTCTGCTGACAGGCCAAAGCTGCTGCCTTGATAGCTCGGAACTGCTTTCTATCTCGGGTGGTCAGAAACGCTCTCTGGATGACTGTCGCGGCACGGTGCAGCTCTGCAATCTTTCTCCTGGCCTCGTGGCCGCGGTACGCTGCCTGGACGACGACTGCTGCGCATTTCATCGTTCTGTACGTCTGCATCTGTTGATCCATGAGCATTTTAGCCCTGTAGCGTCGCTGAATAATAACGGCAGCACGCTTGGTAGCAAGGTAAGCCGCACGCATTCTTTGCATCCTGAACTGAGCTTGGATTGTTCTGGCAGCGTTGCGCCTCTTGTTTAGGTCTTTCCTGACTCTAAATCCCCGGAAGACGGCTTGTATCTTTGTGGTGGCCTGCTTTAGTTTTCTGAATTCATTTCGCTGCTCTCTGCAGAGTAGAAGAGCTCTGTATTGGCTTTGGATGATAATCGCTGCACTTTGAAGGAGAAAATACCGTTTCCTACATAAAAACATTCTCACAAAAGACTGAATGACAGTCGCTGCCTGGTGCTTTTTCTTTAGCTCCGTCCTAACTCTCATGCCTCTGAATCCAGCTTGGAGAGTAACACATGCTGCTTTCTTCTGTAGGTACGCTTTCCTCATCTCCTTTCCTGCCACAAAAGCTCTATAACCATGTTGTATGACTGCAGCTGCTGCCTGCATGGATTTGTACTCTGCTTGTGCTTTGTGCCGACGATAGTGAGCCTGTATCAGTGTTGCACACTGATGCCACTTCTCTATCCTCTTCCTGTCAGCTCTGCCTCTCCAGTTAGCTTGTAAAGTGAGCGCAGCATTCCTAAGACCATCGTATTCATCCTTTGTCTTACGAGCCAAAATTGTGGCTCTGTACTTCTGCTGTATCACATTTGCAGCTTTTCTCAAGGCAAGGTAGTGCCTTTGGGCAGCATACTTCCTAAAAGCTGCCTGGATCACTGCTGCTGCCTCGTGTTGCTTTTTCAGCCACTCTCGAGACACTTTTCCCCGATAAGCTGCCTGTATGGTAACAGCCGCGTGTCTCATCCTCAGAAACATTTTCCTTTCCGTGTCTCTTGTCACAGAGGCCCTGAACCAGCGTTGGATTATGACTGCAGCGCATCTCATCCTCTCCACCTGTTTCCTGACAGTGTGCCCTCTGAAGGCGCTCTGGATGACAATAGCAGATCGTTGCTGCAACTTCCACATCTGAAAGCAGCGCCTCTGTGCACGGCCTCTGTACTGGGCTTGAATGAGCACAGCACTTCTCTTGATCTTTCTGTATTCACAGAGACACATGTGCATTCTGTACCAAGATTGAATTCGTACAGCAGCAGCAGATTTTTTTGCCATCTTGTCCTTGTACCACTCCTTAAATGCAGCTTGTATCACTTCAGCAGCACGGTTTTCTTTGTGTGTTTTCTGAGCTTTCCATCTCCTGTACCCTCCCTGTATTGTCACCGCCGCGGTCCTCAGGCAGAGATAACGTTGCCGATCTCTTCTCGAAAGAGCCCATGCTCGTGAGTACTTCTGAATGACTGTTGCCGCCCAGTAGATTTTCCCATAAGAAGAGGCTGCCCTCCTCATTCGCCATTGTGCCTGGACAACAATGGTGTAATATCTGAGGCGTTGGTAATCCCTCATGGCCGAAAACATCCTCCACTGAGCCTGCATAGACAAGATAAGAAGCACTTATTCAAAGAACAATTGCATATGGCAGCTTCATTATGCAGCAAATGTCCTTGCTGTAACAAAACTGACAAAGTGAAATTGTCCAAAGGAAAGGAAAGCAAAATCACAAATGTTGACTCGAGAGCATGTAAATTCATGGCCATAAAAACGGATGTGTCCTTGGCTAAACTCTTACAACTGGGACCACTGAAGTAGGAAAACTAAATCAGATCAAAAAACACAGAAGAATGCTGAAAAATTCTGCAACATCTAATACGACTTTGTTTTTCCAGTCAAGTGTAGCTATCAGTTCAAAAAAGTTATTTATCACATCCAAGGTGGTCATTCACACTTTGTTTACAGTCTTTTTTATTGTGATAAACACCAACCTGGATAACAGTTGCTGCCTCATGCTGCATAGCCCGACGCTGAGCCTCTTTTTTCAGCCTCAGCCTCTTGCGGGCTGCATGAGCCCTCCAGAACGACTGGATGATGACAGCAGCTTGATTCTGCCTCTTAGCTCGGCACTTTTGGAGAAACCTCCTCGCCAACACCTGGATTTTCACAGCAGCCGCGTTTCTTTCCTGTATCCAAACAAGATAACGATATTATTTTTGTACATTACTGGAGCAGCATCTTCTTTAATTTGAAGCTGATTGGAACAATAAGCTGAAACTCTGCAAAGATGGAGGAACTGCAGATTCCAGGTTTGTTACGGTGAACAATGCATTTCATATTATCGCACTGTTGTTGAATTGATATTTGATTCACTGGTATTATAAATCTACTGATTACAGCCAATTCAAGCTGCACGGTTTCTGCACCTGACTGACCTTTTCAGCAACTTAACGTCATCTCCATTTGACTTGGGTCTCCTTTGCTCTGTTTGCGTCTGTTTCACCACAATACATGTGGAAAATCCCAGCAGAGCAAAACAGACACAGCAAAAGAGAAGCAGAGACTCTCACACTGAACTGAGTGCATATAAATTAGGTAAATAGATTCTGCTTTTCCACTTCAGTGTCGGAGGCACTCTCTGTCTGCATGGAAGCAATGGGAGGGCTGCGACCACCCGTGACCAAGCAATAACTGGCCCCTGTTTCTTTACTGCAACAACAACATGATCAGGAGAAAATAATCAAGAATATCCCCCCAAAAATTGAAAATAAAGCGGCAAAATAGATGTAGTCGTTGTCCACTCTGACCCTGAATTAATACTGGAGTTGTCCAGTCATAAAAGGCTCAAGTGGCTCACTCCTGGCTGATGTGAATTTGCTTCTACATAAATAGATCAAATACACCACCAACCTTGTAGAGCTGTAGATCTTTCTTCAGCCTGTATTTCCTCCAGGCGCCCTGTATGACCCGAGCTGCTCTGGTTTCATTCCGCAGGTCCAGCAAACGAGCACACAGGAAGGACAGGTAGGACATCACAACCTGGAAACAAAATCGATTTGGATGAAGGCAAAGCTGAAGGAGTTTCATGTTGGTGTCGACAATTTTTTTCTGTATTTGAATCATTGAGCCACTGACTTTTTATTTCGAGAGGATTGTAATGATGTTTAAACCAGTTATTTCTGATAGTTGGTTTTAAAAAGTTTAGTAATTTTTTAAGCTCAAATGCCAAATATCTCTTTATTAGTCATGTTCGAGTAAATTGAATATCTTCCGGGTTTGTAAAATGTTAACAGGCCTTGCTTTACAAAGTTCTGAGATTCCAGACAAAATAACCTGCAAATAAAACGATAATGAAAAATAACAACCATAAGTCATAACCACCATAGAGAAACAAATGTTTTACGTTTAAAGAGAGAATGTAAAACGAAATTTCTCCTGTAAAACACACATTTAATGGCCGTACATGCAAACAGGCATTACAAGCCTGGAGGCATGCCAGCATTTAGGTGCATATAAACCCACTAAATGCAGAAAGCGTGGAGAAAACCTCCCATCCTCATCTCACCTTCTCGTTGGGAATGGTGTTGGACATGTCAGCTGGGTTGATCATGGCAGGAACTCCGCCCAGGAAAGCCACAGCACTGTTGACCAGCCTGAAGTTGTTTTTCTCGTTTTCCAGGAGCTCTTTAAACTTTAGTGATGGAGAATCTAGGCCTGTTCACAGAAAAGCACAGGTACTGTCATTATCGTCTGTTTTTACAGCTGTCATAATCTCCTTGAAGTAAAGTAACTCGATGAAATTGGAAAGTCTTCTTCCAATCAACAGATTCCGCAACAGGTAGATGTGCTGCTATTCAAATTCTTGTTTTCCACACTTTGATGCACTACACGTGCGTGAAGTAAGAGCATGCAGCTAACTGAACAAAAGATTAAAAGATGCATCCGAACAGACAGCTGAGCTGAGGTTGCAGCATCCAGCTGACACTTACCGTTCGGGCCTGTCGGCATGGAGTCAAAGGAGCTGTCGGAGTCGCTGGCTGAGCAGCTGAGCTCCAGTCGGCCTCTCGGTGAGCACTCGACAGTCTGACTGGTGCTGTGACTGACGGACGCCTCTGGCAGGAGGCCGGGGTGGTAGTGGTGGATAAGGTAGCAGAGGACGCGGCCATCCGAGAACGTCACGGTGAAGTTCTCCACCTGCTCAGACAGACAACAGACTTCATTTACTGCATCCTGAAAGTAGGACTTTATGCTTCCCTGGATCTTTTCCCTGAAAGGCTGTGACGTGGTGCTTTTCGCAGGACACAGCGGCTGCCTACAGGTAGAGCTGCAGCAGGTGTGACGGAGTCAGCACAGGATTCCTCGAGAATGTACAACTTTACACTGTGTTCTGTTGATGGAAAACACGTACAAATCAAAGCAGCGGCAGCTCCTTGATGAATTACAAAGATGTGGATGACATCTTTAAAGTCCAGCGCCCAGTCTGTACGGTAATAAATACGTGGGTCTATATTTAGACTTGCATGAAAATGTTCAGCCTTTGCAAAATATGTATCCAGACACATATTGTAATTCATTGCCAAAGGTAAACGGGGTGTATTTCCCTGCTCCAGAGAAATGTAGCTGCCTGCAGGTGTTCATTTTGAGGATAACTCTTGTTGTTGAGGTTTCATGCAAACAGTGAGTCAGCAACTTAAACAGATGCATGGTTCATTTCAAACCTAATACTCAGGTTTTTTTTCCTTTACTCTGAAAGTGTTTCCAGATGAAACAAAGAGAAAGCACTGATTATCTAGAGACTGAATGAAAGCTTCTACCAAAGACACAACAAAAATTCTGTAGTGGATCAAAGGAGGTGGGCTGCAAGGTGGCGCAGGTGGTGACACTGTTGCCTCGCAGCAAGAAGGTCGCCAGTTCGCGTCCCGGTGAGGACACCCGGGATCTTTCTGTGTGGAGTTTGCATGTTCTCTCCGTGCAGCGTGGGTTCTCTCCAGGTTCTCCGGCTTCGTCCCACACAGTGCGAAAACATGTTGAGGTTAATTGGTGATTCTAAATTGTCCATAGGTGTGAATGTGAGTGTGCTTGGTTGTCTGTCTCTAAGTGTAGCCCTGTGATAGGCTGGTGACCTGTCCAGGGTGTCCCCTGCCTTTGCCCTAAGTCAGCTGGGATAGACTCCAGCCCCCCGCGACCCTAGTGAGGATTAAGCGGTGTATAGAAAATGGATGGAACAAAGTAGGTGGTAACACTGCACCGAGCCAAACAAAACAATTGAATCAAAACCCACAGACTCACTGTAAACCTGACAGTATTTTATTTATTAGTAAAAAAAACTACAGCATGTCTCACCTTGAGGTTGTAGAAGTCACACACGGAGCGGACCCAGTCCATCAGCAAGGTGACCTTGGTGCTGCCATGTTCATACGGCGCCCTGGTCGTCGCAGGGCTTGGCTGAAGGCCCCGGTCGGCCCTCAAGGACGCCAGGCTCCGTTTGGTCCTCAGGGTTCTCTTCAAGAAGCTGATCTCGTCCCTGAGCTGATCCTCGTCCAGAATCACCTCCACCTAAAAACATTATTTGTTAGCAGCATATCAATCACACTTTTAAAAAAAATAAAAATTGTGAACTACACGCAAGCAGGAAACAAAAAAGTATCACACACGTGAAATGCAAAGATGATTTTCCACAGGAGGCTCAGTGTCTTTTCTCTGTGTCCATCAACAACATCTCTTGAATCAATGGGGGCGCCTGGAAATAAGAACACAATGTTTAAATACATATTACAAACACAGTTTTTGTTTGTAGTTGCTGGTGAAAAAATGATGTAAATATCAAAGGACTGAAGCTGAAATGCAGATGTAATCAATGAGAAACGTCGGAAAGTTGTAGAAAACACAATGAATATGTAACGCTTCACATCTGAAACAGCAGATTAAAAAAAATAAAAAATAAAAAAAAATCTCATTTTGTTGAGGGCAGCGATTCGCTCCAATCTCCCTCTTCATAAATTTATTCATTACCGTGTTCATCTTTGAGGTCGACCCCTTTGCTTTTGAGCACGTGCAGAGCGATGTCGACGTTGTGGACCTTCTGCAGGCGGCTGATGGCCGGCAGACGGAGCTTCGCTGATAAACTCCAGTCCTGGACGAGGAGCTCCATCACACGCCTGGAGGCAAAATCACATTTAAACAAACGTGCATTTATAGAAAGTGAATGCAGGATAAGAATCTTTGCAGTTGTTGTCTTTTTTTTTTCCTTAATCATTGATGTTTGTTGCTTTTTCACTGCACAACCAGACTCTTCATTGCATCCTCCCTGATCAGCTGCTCTACAATTTGTCATCCTATCAAATATTTGTATTTTCCCCATTTTGGACAGCAGTAGGAATCTAATTTGAGAGGGTAAAAAGGTTCGAAAACACTCCATAAAGTGGCTATAATCAATTTTTTTTGTTTTACATTAATAATGTATTTGAAAGGGATCTGTGGTAGTGAGAAACCTACAGACAATTTTACCACTCTGAGCTGATCGCGAGTTTGACTTCATGTTTAGCTGTTCGGCTGCAAGAGCCCGCAGAATTTAGCCGAGCTGGTGCCCACAAGGACAGCGACCCTCTACATGAATGTCACATGTGTAAAACTGCTTCTATCAGCATGTAAAATAATGTCCACTGTACTTAATATTATGTAATGATTTAATCAATTATTGAATTTTCATCCCTAGTAAATACCTGACTGTGTGGCTGCCCTCTAACAGTCAAACAAACGTTAGTTGAGGACGGGAGCTTTAGTTAATTAAGTTTTGATTTGATTAGTCATGAGAAAAAAGGTCCTTGGTCAGGGACAGCCCTACAGTTATATATATATTAATAAATGATGACTTTTTTTACTTACACAAAAACGTCCAGTATTACTTAACCTTATATTACTTTATCCTCGGAGGGAAACTTTGACAGTTACGATTATACGCCCTCATAACCACCAACCAGATTACAAGATTTTCATTAAAAGGGTTTGTGTAAATCCCACAGCTGCATGTCGTACCACCCCAAAACTCTCGACCACGTGCAGACACCTGTATATATAGTATAAACACGACTTTATCCACTTGCATGTAGCATATCTGACCTTTTTCTGATGAGTTCATCGTGTCATTCTTTGGAGTTTCACCCTTAAACTGAGCTTTCACCCTAATCCTAACCCTTTTATACTTAATCCCCCTAAAACCAGGGAAATACAGTGAAGAAAACAACTAGTCTGAAAGGCAAGCAGAGAATACTGATCTGATCACTGGAGAGGACATGTATTCTCCAAAGTATTCTCTGGTCTTTGCCATGCGATTTTTCAACCTGTATTTTCTGTGCAATAAAAGTGTAAACACACAAAAAATGAACTTTTCAGAGACACACACACACACATGTATGAGACTGAACTATGATCAGAGTGATTCTGTTACACCGACAGGCCGGTCAGAGGGATCATCGTTCAGTGAAAATCCCAGAGAGGAAATCCCCCCCCTGTCTGTCTGACATCTGCTCTGCTGGAGAGTCCTGAACACTGAATCCCTCCGAGCTGCTGGGATGCTACCACGCAGCCAAGCCTGACCTCCGAGAGAAGAAGTATCCCTTCTGGGATCAGAGCATCGCATTAAAATTCATGACGTCTCACTCACACTAGGCGAATGCCGCATTTCAAGTCAACTGCCAAATTCTTCACAGCGAAGTTGAACTCGTCCAGAGGCGTCTGAACGTGGGAGACGGGTAACCCGAGGTAGCCGAGGTGCCGGGGGAGGATGCCTTCACCGCTCAGGAAATCCCTCGAGAAGGCCAGCAGCAGGTCTTTGCTCGCCTGTATAAGAAACAAGCAGTGCACGGCATGGCAGTGGTTAATGCAATCTTGGATGATCCAGGGAATGTTGGAGAGATTTACTTCAAGGTGGCTTTGGGGTCTGTGCTTCTCTGTATATAAAGATGTCTTACTCTCAAAAAAAGTTTTTCCTCTTAATAAATGAATCCACATATTTATATACATTTTGCACGTATTTAATCAAAAGTCTACTTTACAACATTCATCCTCAAGTGCTTATAAGTTATTGCTCATGAGTATTGGGTGGAACATTGCTCAGGACCACAGACTGGTACCTACAGATAGAGAGGCAGCTGTATCAGAGACAAAGTGGCTCATTTTCAAATGTGTTCATTTTTTCAGGAATCAAATTATGATACAGATAATCAGAAATCTGATAGTTGTGAAACCTCAGGATAAAGCCACCCTAATTTAACACACTAAGACTTACAGAATATTGCTCTTTTTCATAGGTGGTTTTGTAGCCAACAATCTGATTTGGTTCAAATGAATCGGTGTGCTTTTGCCTGCTTAATAGAGTTCAAGCTGTCAGTCGGTTTTTCTCCAAGTGGACTCATTTTGGTGCAGTTTGTTTGAGGTGTAAAAGCCAACCACTGTATTTTTAAAAAGTAGATATATTACGTTAAACACTCATGAACTGTTCAGACCCTATAACCAGTTTGTGCTGATTCAAATTGGGAAATTACGACTGAAGACACAAACACTGACCGTTTCGTCCAATCAGCACAAGTGGCTCCCTAAATTAAAGCAACCTGTTCGTGCTGTTTTTTTCTTCCATCTCCCAACTGTTCAATCTGACAGAACCTGTGACATACTACATTTGTGTATGTATTTATAACCAGAGAAACACAAAAGACTGTCAAAATAAACCAAAATACAGCTTTGTGACAGCAGTTGCACTATAGCATAAGTCAAACTCAGACTTATCTGGCCTGTAATGTAATTAATATTTGGCCCGCAAGATAATATCAAATGTCTATTAGAGCTGGCCTGCCGGTATATAGTGCATGCATCACTAATACTACACATCCCAGAATGCTCTGCTGGTGCCTTGGTGCATCAATGAAGACCCGCAAGCACCTGGTGACATTCATCAGCAGCCTCATGTTACACCTCAGGAAAATTTAAGCCACCACTCACAAAAATGGCCAAACGAATTATGATTATTATTATATATCTTGAGATATAGGAAAACATCCAAAGATGTGGTCAATTTTTCAATAAATATCAAGTCTGACCCACGACTTAGTCCCAGTTTTTTTTTGTTTTTTTTTTTTTAATTCTGGCCCACTGTGTGTTTGAGTTTGACACCTGTGCACTATAGGATCAGTGAGTGAAAAGTTTCTCCCCATCAGTTTGTACGACTGTCAGGATGAACATGAACCATGCCAGAGCTAAAACACAACAACTTTTAAAGCACCTTAATTCCACTTTTGTGATGGGGTATTAGTGTTACATGGTCTCAGCTTCTAGCTTATTCAAGATGAAGGCAGTCAGATAAACAGCCTTTTATGGTGCTCCAGATACTCATATCATTGCACTAAAGCAGACTGAATGCGTTTCTGAGCTCTGAGCTGTAGCTATGGTCTGTCCAGGCTGCGTGCTGCATCATCACCAGATAGCGGATGTCTGTGTCAGCCGTCATCTGTCACTTGCAACCTGATATTCACACCGACTTCACGCTGTGATTTGCCAGCAGTGTGGAGCACCTGAGAGGACGGTTCATTGTGTTTCTATTTCTATTCTCTTTTTTCCTTTCGCTATTCAACCATTTGTAGCACCTTTCATGTGTGCAACCGAATGCAACCCTGTCAATGTCTCCATGGACAGATCAGCTAACATTGTGCACCTTTATCCTCTCCGTTTAGAAACAGCATCACATCTCCCCCATCTCTACAACAGCCAACTCCTCAGGCTGATCACCAACAAACGCATTTGATTTCCGACCTAAGAACCAGTCGTGACGGACCATAAATCAGCCCTTGGTTGTTAGTTGAACAGGCACCCATCACACACAGAACAGGTGCACTCAATTTTTCTGAAACCAATTTCTTCATTTATCTCACTTTCTAAGCTTTTGTATATTAATCATTATAAACTTAAATTAAATCTGATTTTCCTCTTAATTTAGATATGTCATGAGAAAACACACAAATACAAAGAAAAATATCACTGCGGAAGTTGTTATACGTTGTAATTTAAAAATGAATTTAAACTAGGTGACTGAACCTTTATCCTCTAACCAGACTGAGACTTTCTTAAAGTTTGACTTAGCAGAAACCTGGGTGGGATTCCTCAGGGTTTGATTTCAGGGCTTTTATTATTTAATCTATTGTAGCTACTTTCTGCATATTTTAGTCTGTTGTTGACATATGGAGTTAAAGTCCATCAACAGCAGGGCTGGCGGTTCGATCCCCCGTCCCTCCACATTCTGAAGTGTCCTCGGGCAAGACACTGAACCCCAAGTTGCTCCTGTTGGCAGACTAGTGCCTTGCATGGCAACTCCTGCTGCCATTAGTATGTGAGTGTGTGGGTGAATGGCTGAATGAGAAACATTGCAAAGCGCTTTGTAGAAGTGCTGAGGTTAAAAGGCTCTATATAAATGCAAACCATTTACCAAATGCAGACCTACCTTGAACTCGGCGTCCACGCAGAACAGACAGGGGTCGTGTTCAATCAGTCGGGACTCTTTGGCTTTGTCCAGGAAACACACCAGCAGGAGCAGCTTCTTCAGAGTGAAGCGAGACAGCGCCTCCTCGTGGCCTAACCGGGAAAAGTTCACACAAGTGAGTCTGAAAACTTTCACAATACAAGCAATTTATGTGATAATTTACAGATGTATATTTACAAACTGATATTCTTTGATTTGATAATAACTTTTCTTAATTTAATAGATAGGCGCTTTCTAATAGACTCTTTCGACATTTGTGCTTATAAAATCAAAGAGGGAAACGACCAGAAGTCCTGGAAATGTCTGACTGTTATTTTTCTTAAACAAAAGTGGATCTTGGGCCACTCAGACGCTTGCAACAACATTCAGTTAGCTGATCAAAGTCAAATGCAGAGACTTTTAATGTATTTTAGGAAAAATCTCCTTAATTCTAGTTCCTCAAAGGTCAAAATGTGCTGTTTTACATAATTGCAAATTGAATATCTATGAGTCTTATAATCCTCAGTTAAGACTATGTGAAACAGGGATTGACCATTTTAGCATTTCCTAGCATTTAATCCACTACATAGTAATAAAAAAATAATCAAATAATCATGAGATGAATCGATAATGCTCTATATCTTGCAGCATAATATGAATGCACTGCAATTTTTTAGATTTTTTTTTTTTGGCATCATGAATGTCAGTAAAGCATAACAAGGAATCAGGTCACTTAATTAAAGTTCTTCTCATACCAATAGCTGCTAATTTTCAATCATAAAGTGTTCCTGTCTGCTTGTGATAAGGCAGAGGAAGCTTAGTTTTCACTCGAGTGGGAATACAAAACTGAGCTGATAACACAAACAGTACCCTTTTAATTACTTTGGATATAAACAGGCAGAAAGTAGTTCCCAAAATAAGTCTCCACTGCAGAAACTTGGTGAAATTTCTGCAGCTTTGACCCCGACACACTCTGTAATTACCGTCTTTGTAAAGGTGAGGCACTCTGGGGTGTCTGAACTCGGCGGCGATGTCTGGGTTCCAGAGCAGTCGCTGGAGGATGAACATGGCCAGACCCAAAGCATCGTTGTTGCTCTCGAGCGAGATCAGCTCCCCGTAGATCGTCTGAGGAGGAGCAACAATGTGATGGTGGGGAAAAAAAAAAAAGACAAATGCTGAAAAGTAGAAGACAATGACATATCAGAATACCTCGAGGCCGATACGCAACCACAGCGGGTTGTAAGAAAGAAGCCAGTTGAGGACTTTTCTGCGTTCACCTGAAAGAAGGAGGAAAAACAAGAAAATAATGTCACTTTCAGGCTTATTGATAGCAACTCTACAGAATGGACAGTTAGTAGGTTTCATACCAATGTCCTTCCAAAGGTGGCGGTCTTTCCTGACAAGCAGCCGCCGGGCCTCCACCTCCAGTTCGAGCCTCTGAATAGCCTTGACCATGGCCTCAGATGTGAACAGCTGGCAGGCGGAACGACGGAGGCGGTTTAGCTTCCGTCTGGCTGTGTAGGTGCTGAAAGACATCTCTTCTTTGGTGGGAGCTTTAGGCACATTGAAGTTGTCATCGCTGCCCAGGGCAAGAGACACGGCGCTCACTGCGCAAAAATCACATGAAGGAGGTGAAGGTTTAGATGTCATCGTTGTGATTCTTGCATCTCAGTTAAAAAGTTAACAAATGATGTGCCAGCTGTTGGAGAAAAACTTCATGGTAGATCAGTGAACGTCTGCCCAGTGTGTGTGCATGTTACCTTTAGTGACTTCAGTGTTGACTTTAAAGTCATCTGGGGTGAGAACGTAGTTGATCCACCACGTGAATCCTCTCTCCTGCTTCTCAATCCACCTCTCGTCATAGAACATGTTTTTGGCGGCGAACGGCATGGGGTGTCTGGGTAAAGCTAAAAGAAAAGAAGATGACAAAGTAAGACAAACTAAAGTAAAGTACATTTTCACGCATCATAATAGGCTCATTTTACAGTGTTCTGCCATCAACTACCTGTTTGCGCAGGCCTAATAAAGGTCAGCTTCGACTGCGCTACAGCAACTACTTTTGCTGTCCTCGCAGATGGAGCAGCAGATGTTTTCCGAGATGCAGCAGCTGTGAGCAACAGGGGGAAAAAAAGTCATTTCGAGTTTTAACACAAATCACATCGGTAAACTGTCAAAAACGCAAGGTCAGCAGCAGCTTTTACATCTTACTGCTGTCACACCTGGAAGGCTGACCTTTGCTCTCTGTCCTTTGTTAATATATGAATCTAACTCCATTAAGGCACATTAATCCTCATTCACAAATACTATACACGACTGAATACCTCGCGAGGTGGCTTTGGAGCTCGGCTGCTTAGCCTGAGCAGGAACTGCAGACTTTGTAGTCTTTAGAGATGATGTAGTCATCGAGCGTGCTGGGCCTGGGGAGAAAAAAAAAAAACAGTTCAAGGGTTAGAAATCACTCTCATTAATTAAATGGACAATTCAACTTCAGCAGGGAGCGTTAATATCCAGAATGTAAGACTCTAAAGCAGTCAGTCCAAAAGCCGCAGTTTGTGGATATGTACATTTCCAGGATACAGACAGAAGCTGTTGTTAAAATATAAATAACATGATGCATACAGGGCTGAACAGTGACGTCATCAGGTTTTTGTGTTTTCTAACCCTTGTCCCAAAGTTACAGATCCAACTTATCGACTTCCCTTCCCTGCCTTGTTCCAACGTGCCAAAGGCTGTTCACCTTGGAGACTTACTGCATTTTTTTTGTGTGTGTGTGTTTTATTTTTATGTATCTTTACCTTATTTAATTTATCTTATCTTTTTACTTCCCTGCTGTTATATTGATGAATGGCAGAATACTGAGCACTTTGTTGTCTCTTGTCTTTGTTTTTTTTTCCTCATCACTCGATCAAGTACCTGCCTGTCAGGTTCAACGTGCATTAGTTAAGGACTGTTTCTTTAAATTGTAACATTGCAACGATAGTCTACATAGGCCTAGAATGCCCTAAATGTGCAGTTTTACATGGTTTTAAGTTTTTAAAATGCTACAGTCAACGCTGTTGTGTGAATTGCAGAGATTAAGAGGAAAAACCTCACAAAAAAAGCTTGACTTGTCGTGAATTTAGTTGCTAAATGACAAACAATTAAGGGGATTGAGGACGCTAATGGGGCACATTAAGATGCCCCATTAACGTTTTGTACACTCAGCTGCCAGCTTTCTGGGGTGATAGCTGAAACAGTTTGAGCTTCCTCCAGTTCTTGCTCATTTGTGATGCTGCAGTTTGCGGCACTGTTGAATTGTGTTGTATGACCATTACCACCTTCATGAAAAATGGGCTTACCTGCTGTTCTCTGCCGTTGGGGTGCGCCTCTCTTCTCCTGTACTGGTTTTGAGGGCTCGGCTCTTCTAGTCAGCACCCTGCTCCTTTTGACTGGCTCGGTTTTCCCAGCGTCCTCAACTTTCCCATCACTTTTCAAATACTCCTCACTCTTCCTCTTCTTGCTCTTCCCCACCACATGGATGGGAAATGAGTCTTCGTGAATCGGGGGAGGTGACAAAATTGTTGGGGACTGCTTGTACAGATCAGAGTTTGATAAGTGAAGAGGGGAAGATGAGCCCACAGGTGATGGAGAAGTGAGGGTAAAAGAGATGGGGCCAGCAACTGGAGGAGAAGTGATGGAGAAAGAGAAGCGAGAGGAAGCCATGGGTGGAGGGGAGGAGACAGGGAAGGTGATGGGTGCAGGCGAAGCGGGGAGCCTTGGAGTCAGGCTGGAGGAGGAAAACTCTGTGGCTTGATGCTCGTCAGTCGGTGTGGCTGCTCTGTCTGGGTCTATCACTGGGAGGCTTGGAGTGCCTTGTCCAGACTCACACTGACTGCTGCCGTCAGACAGCTCGAGCGTCTTCTCTAAGAGCCGTCGCCGTGATTTCTTAATCTTCCTTCCACTCGAATTGCTTGCCTCCACCGGTGCTTTGCTTTTGGTCACTGTAACTGAGCAGAAAGAGGCCTTTTTTACTCTTTCGTCAGCCTTATCAGCCTCTGAAACAACAACCTCATTCACGACAACCTTCTTGCTGACAAAGAAAGTCAGTCTTGGCTCATTGGGCTTCTCCAGCTCTGGGCTATCAGGTACTGACTTGAAGACATCTGTGGGAGGTCCATAGTTTTGTTTTCCACTCAGAGATTCCAGTGAATCTGAAAAGTCCCTGCTCGAATTAGTGTCTCGAGGACTGGCGTTAATAGAGATCAGATCAGAGTCAATGAGCATCAGTGCATCTTTCAAAGACAGACCAGGGGCTTTGTTTAATCCACCGTCAACATCAGGAGAAGCAGGACGTGGGCTCTCTGAATGAATATAAGGCATCAGCTTCTTAAACCTCTCTGGTGTCCCGATAGGTGACAGCGTCCTGTTGAGCATTTTAGTGAGCTCTTTGTTTTCAGGTTTTCCTGCCAGGGTGTCTGGGCTAGCAGACATGTGGCCCGAGTCCATCAGCTTTGCAGTTGGGACAAGCAGGACGAGAGGAGAGTTCCTCTGAGCATGGCTGATATTCTCCTGGTCTGACAAGACCAGAGGCTGCTGCCTTTGGTTGGGATTTAGGGCTTTGAGTTCCTCTGATTTCCGGCAGCGCTCATCACTGGGGCTGTACTTGGTGAGGGACCTCTCTTTGACAGCTTTTCCCTCGTTAAGCGAAGCGAGCGGGCTGCGAGGTTTGTCCCGTTTGTACTGCGACTTTCGGGCCACTTGGAAGGTTTTATTGGCTGCCATCTTCAGTGGGGGCTCGGTTTTCTTTCTGCTTGGTGCAGTCACTTTCTCACCCTCTCTTTTGCTTTTGATTGTGTCCCATAAGCTCTTCTGAAACACAAAAGATGGAAAGTATAAGCTGCAGATGCTAAATCAAATACCACGTCTAGAATGCAGTTACACATTTCCTGAGTTCTCATTTAAACATAATGAGACTTTTTATGAGCTTGTGCCAGATTTAACTAAGTACAGACTGCACCAAATAGGCTTTCAGTTTAGTAAAATTCTGTCTGAATAATCATTTTGCCAATTATATTCTTAATTCAAAAACAGTTTCATAGTATATGTTATTAAAAGTCTTGTTTTGTACAACTTAAAGTTGAGACAAGGAAAAGCAAGACATCAACTCCTTTCAGAAGCTTAAACCAGAACAATCAACTAATTTCAAATCAAAAGCGCTTTTTAAAACAATGAAATAAGCAAACTACAAATGTTGCAATTTTAGATTTACTACATGTTGAGATTAAATGAGACCAAAACTGTAACTCAGCTTTATTCCACTGGAGCAGATTGAAACTTTCAGTGGTTGTTTACACCCATTGATCCATGTATGCTATGTAGTTCATGCATGCACACTGTGGTTCTACTGACAGAAGCCCGGTCTCATTATGTAATACACACACCTCATTCATTTTGCAGCACATCTGATGCAAGGTTTGAACTGCCTTGTAGGGACAGCCGTGCTTTAAATCAAACAGTCCAAATTTAATTGAAGCTTGACACATTGCAAAAGGAATCACAACATCTGTCCAGAAAAATCTGTTAGATATTTGCCCCTAATCGTTCAGACATATTCTCAAGTTAAATAATTTTGTTACTTTAAAAAGGCTTCAATGAATATTTGATCATCCAAGTGTCAAGCAATATTCTGCCAATCAACTAACCTCTGCAGTTTTGAATCTATAAAACTGCCAGCATCTGTGTTCAGCTGAGGAGATGTACCTTTTTCTTTTTCGGCGCCTCCGCTCTTCCCAGCAGAACAGCCTGGTGCTTGAGGACTCCATTAGCATTGAAGGTGATGAGCTCTCTGATGCCACCTTCCTCTGTAGGAGTCCAGGTCACTGTCAAACTGAATGAGCTCTCAGGCTGCAGACACAAAGCACACCATCAGGACAAACTCACCACTGCTGACTGATATGTTTGTCCAAATAGACTTAATAGGAGAGTCTCTATTAATTGTGTGAACAGCAAAACTCCCGAACATGACAGCAGCTTGTTTTAGAGTCTCTGTAGGACGTGACTGTACAACTGCTGCAGCGTTGTTTCAGCTCAACAAACTGAGTTTAGAATCACTCAAACTGTTGATTCTGTTCATTATTCCTACAATATAAACATATTGCACCGCCTCGTGATGAAAATCCCCCGTTAGCTAGCTAACACATACCTGGATCGTGAACGTGTTGTAGTCCACAGAAAAGCCTTTACTTGACGGGATCTTTTCCACAGTAACCTCCGCATCTGTGTCCACTGTGGGGTTCTCTATCCGCAGAACCGCCGACCTGGAGGTGCCCAACTTCACTGTTCCGAATGTCACAAAAGGAGCCTTTGAAAACTGGATCAAACTCAAAACGGGAACATCATTCTCCTTGTTAGAGTCGTGTCTCCTCACTGGACTGAAGTCCAGGCGCCCCCGTTGTGCTGAAGTTACCGTTTCAGCCATTGTAAATTAAAATCGCAACTGACTGGCTAGCTACAATGCCATGTTGCTCGTCTTTTAAAATACCTCTCGATCCGTACGGACGGTTTACTAACTCACTCTGGTAGCAACTGGCTAGCAAACGTTAGACACGCTTCCTTCAACAACACACTAAAAAGACGACCCGGTTTGAAATTCGGTCAGTTAACACTCAGCCAATGACAAGCTAGGCGCGGTGACGTCACGCCCAATGAGTAAACAGAATACATCCAATCCGTATGAATACACATCCGTCGACCAATCAATGTACGAGTACGTTTTTAAACTACCCAAGTCCCCGCCCACATTCTGAAACACAGAAAAACTAAAATGTCTCACTTTGTGATTATTTTTTTTGACACAACTAAAATAAAGCAGGTCGTTTGTCCCCCTCAGTTATTTTGAGCATTTTTTTTAACCTAAAATGGACTTAATGCTAAGAATAAAAGCTAGAGCAGACTCCATGGTAGGTTTATGTCTGTCTTGTAAACCAGAAAGTGAGCCATAATTTCATACTGGAGTGATGAATCTATTGATATATACGATCTTCGTTTGTGAACGGCATCATGAACGTTATTGCTCACTCGGATTTAACTAAAATTTCTAAAATATACAACACGGCTTGCGTTTGTTCCTGAATTGATCACGGTCCCTATTTTAGTCACAATGCTATTACCGGTCCACGGTATGATTTGAGTGAAGTATTTCTGCTGAAACCCCTCAGACCTTATCCGACGGATAGCTCGCCGTGATCGTATAGTGGTTAGTACTCTGCGTTGTGGCCGCAGCAACCCCGGTTCGAATCCGGGTCACGGCAGTCTTTTAAACAAACGCTCTCATGTCCTTTAAATTTACGGACACGGTCACTTTGGAAATGTCTTCGCAGAGGTTGTTCATCTGAAAACTGAAACAAGTAATGGCAAAATAAAAGAAGAAAGCGTGACCACAATGCAGCTGTTCTTTTCTCATCACACAAATATCGAGTCCTGATAAACTCCAGAGTATGTAAGTATTTATAACATGTAAGAACTCGCTACAGATTTCCATGTAAACTGTAGTTCCCTGTTAGAACCAGCAGAGGGCAGTGTAGGCTTACAGTCGTCCTCAAATACCCTTCAATTAAAGAAAAGGCAAAATTCCCAATAGCCACTCAAATAACTAGAAACTGGGGGGGGGGGGGTAATATTAGATTTTTTTTTTAAATTGCTAAATTATAATTTAGTGAAATAAGACATTGCTTTTTGAATTGTGGTTGAAAAGAATAATAATAATAATAAAAACTGTCCTGGACAAATGAGAGGACTTTGCTGATGAGCCAAAATACCTGTCACCAGGTGCAGAAATCTGACTGAGAGTTACACAGAACACTTGATTGCAGTGATTGGCTCAAAGGGTTTTTCAACAAAATATTAGTTTACGGGTCCCATCATGCTTTTTTGCTTGTTTTTGTTTGTTTGTTTGTTTGTTTGTTTTTAAATATTTATGTTGAACCACAATTCAAAAACAAAGCCAGGATTTCCATCAAATTTTTATTTTTTGTCAATTTCAACTTATTGCAGTGACAGCTGTTTTTTCTTTCTTTAATGTTCATACAGTTTATGCAGGGAAATGCAAAGTGACTGTTCCCCAAGGCTGTGCAATAACAATAAGACATTATGAAATCTGTTTCTTTAAAAACAGCTCAAAAAATTTTAAAAAAAATCTGAATGAGAAATGCTTTATTGATTCCCAAAGGGAAATTGCTTACATTACAGTTGCTCCATTTCAAAGTCTTAGATATTTAAGCACTAGAAAAGACAGAAGATAAACAAGTAGAAAAATATGTCCTAAAAACACAAATACAAATTTAAGAAAATGTAAGTATAAAATCTAAAAAAATATATAAATGCAGATAAAGAAAAAGAAAACCCTCACAACATCATAATAATGAGGTAGAGATTGCAAAATGATTCCTATTCTAGGTCTTGTGTTGCAGTTAAGTGCAAAAGTCTTAACAATTCAATCTTTTTAAAAAAAATAATTAATTTTAAAGTTATTGAGCATTGAGTAAATGGGAGTCAAGAGAACTGTCAAAAACATTGTATTTTAAATTATTAATCAATGATTTTAATGGGGGGAAAAATGAAGAACCAGCAGCATTTTATTTGTTGTGAAACATCTAATCCAGTCATGACTTACAGCACACATGTTGAAAAAAACAATGTTGTCATCACTCCAGTTACCAGCTTGCACTATGATGAGCTTCAGATCAATTGACAGAAAGTATTTAAGTCAAATACTGCAGATTGCAAACTGGATGAAGTTACAGCAGAATAGTGCAAGTAAGTTAAACCAGATTTTGTTCTCTCTGTTAACGGCAGGCCTTTGTTAAACAAGCCAAACTTGCAGGTGTGTAACAATACTAATCATGTACTTTATTTCAATAGCATTTCTCAAAAAATGGAGTTACAAGGTGCTTTACAAAAAATATATTTTATATCCAAAGCATTAGAAAGCTACAACAGAGCATTAAATGAAGACAATTAAGAATGCTAAAAACAAAACAAAACAAGAACTGACTCTTGCTGCGTAATAAACAGTCCCTGAAGTGAATATGAATTCAAGTGAATGCCTCTTAAATGTAAATTTAAAGTCATCTTCACAAAAATGGGTTTTGCCTTTTGCTACATAGACGTATATTATAGATATATACTAGTCTGATAGTCGACTCAAACAGAATGGGCCCGGTAGTGTTTTGTTTTACTGCTGCATGTCACGGGTCTGTGTGACAATGTGTCCAGAGGAGATTCCCTCTGCCATGGCAGGCACAGCGACAGCACATGTTTTTGTGTTGCCTGTGACTTTGTTTGTTGCATAGGTCTATGCTACCACACACCCATACATGTATTACATGCTGATCTCCACAGGTTATATTATTTGACTTGTGTTGTTCTTGTACATTCATTACCTTTCTTGGCCTCCGACGCTCTTATCGTTGGTGTGGGAGATGGAAATTGGGTCTTCTGGTTTTTTAAATTAATGTGTTTCTGAAGCAGTAGAATATTTTCTGTGGCCTTTTATTTTCTGCTTGATAACTGATCAAATTAACTGATAACACATCTTGCTGCTGCCAGGTTGTCTATTAAAGTCAACCACATTCAAGTCATGTAAAATAAATCTATTACTAGTAAAAGTATTGCATTAGGCCTTAGTTAAGTAAAAACACAGATGTACTATCAGCACAATGTCCTGAAAGCAACAACAGTCATGCAGAAAAATACTGTCATACAGAAGAATACCGTTGTATATAACATTTGATTGTTGTTGTGCTGCATAAGTAAACAGGATCTACTATTTTTGCATTTAGATATTTTAACCTAGTTTTTGCCCAGCACAGTTGGAAATCCCTCCAACTTGGCACAAGATAAAGAATAGCCATACGATGCTTGGGAAATTCAATAAAAGATGGACTCTGTAACGTCACACAAACACTTCCCACAGTGCAGCTTTGAATCTCAGTGTTGTGGCTTTAGGTGGCATCATTTTGGCCAGACTCCTCCTAACTCAGCAAAGAGGTGGAGTTTGGGTGAAGCTGAAGTGGTCCATTATAACATCTCGGGGTCATGGACTGTTCTATATTGTCTTCCATCTGTCACTCAAAGCAAGCATGCCTTTGTTTAACATAACCTGAAGCCTTTATGCACTTGATTAAGGCCTTCTTCCTCCTGCTGAACACCTCCAAGACAAAGAAGATGGTCAGATGGTCTAAGCCTCAACTCCAGCCAATCAACATCAGGAGAGAGGACACTGAAGTGGTGCGAACCTATAAATACTTATGGTTTGCTCCTTGACAACAAAGTGGACTGGTCAGTGGACACAGATGCCCTCTGTGCTGTGACATGTTGTGTTTGTTCTCCCAGTCAGTGGTCACCAGTGTTCTCTTCTAAGCTGTGGTCTGCTCAGCATGACTGAGAGGAACACCTGGTGGTCGGGCACGTTGGCGAAGAAGGCTGGTTCTGTGTTCGGCAGGAGCTTCCACTCATCGACGACTGTGGCACTATGCAGTCCGTTCTGAACAATCCCAGCCAGCCTGTTCAGAGCACCGCAAGCCGGAGTGCTACAGGAAATCCTTTGTCCCCACAGCCATCGGCCTCTAAAGCACCTCGTTTGAGAGCAGGCTTAAATGGGCATGTTATACAGAGATTTACTATCGTAGGTATAAACAGAGAAATTAGCTGCAGAGAACATAACTGTTTTTATTGTACCATGCAATAAATGTGCCCTTTTTTTCCAGCTGTAAAGTTGGACATTTTGACAGAGGGGGAGATTGACTCATTTTTGGATCTAGTCTCTATTGGACATTCGAGGAACTACAGTTTTTGGCGTGCTAAGTGTATTCCTCAGCTTGACTTTGATTTTCTGTCATATCACTGACAAAAACAAGTGGTGGCAGTAGCAAAGCGTTATTAGTTTTCTTGACGGGAGCATGGAAAAGAAAGAAGAAAACAAATGACAATAACAAATACCACAGTACTTTGCTGAGTTTGTACTTGTTTGAAACTCTGAAAAGAACTTTGTCTTCTTCTGGATCTGTCACAAAGCCATCACTTCTGACGCTGAATTTATTGCAAGCTGCTTGCAGTGAACAATGTGTTCAAATGGCAGAAAGCCACCTTGTAAACAGAGATGGTTTTCTGTTACTAACTTGCTCAGGCGCCCAATAGGAGGAGAGTTAATGTGCTGGTTCAGTGTTCACAGTGTTTGAATGAAGATAGGGTATTTTACCAGAAATAAGCTGAAACACTGCATCAATATAGATGTAGTCTGAGGTGTTCTATGATGATAAAAATCTAATTTTTTAAGAACCCTTTTGGACATTGGAGTTAATATTTGCTTTTTGTTTGTATATTGTTGTTAAAATCTTTATGTTGGGGCTCCATAGTATTCAATTTAAACAAGCTGAGAGATTTTGAAATATTTTTTTTTCTTTGCAAACTACTAAAAACATTGAAAACATGAGTCATAGTAGAATCAAAGAAAACAGAAATACTCAAGTAAACTACAAACACTTCAACAGTGTACATATAGCACTTAAGTAAATGTGATTGTTTTTGTTTTGTTTGGAGGGGATGATCGAATCACACAGGTTGATGCATAGATGTGACGGTGCTGTTTGCAGACATTAGCATATGACTAGAAACCCCCCACCCAAGCAGTATCTATCCATTTAATGATGTCTCTAACCTCCACTGTCTTTTTGTCTGTTAGACCCCCACCACACTGTCCCTCTGCCTTTAACTGATTTCCCCCACAGAGGGCCTGTGAAGACATGCTAATGTAAATGCCATGCCTATGTATGAGTGGAAACAAAAGAGCCGACTCACAAGTTGCTTTGCTGATGCTGCAGCTCTGTGATTGAAGACAGGCTCGAACAGAAGGGTGGTTGAAAACACTCACATCTTTTTTTTATTTAATAGTATTGTTATTTATTGTTTTAATTGAACTGTTTATTTCAAAAGATAATCTTATTCAGATCACAATGTCATATACAATTAAAATTCAAACCCAAATTAAACGTACAAATACTTCCAAGTGTGGTACTGCTAATTTTAAAATATTCTGTGACCTTACAGCACACTTTATTTATTTGAGAGAAGAGAGCAGATGAAATGAGGCTGTTTTTGGTAGCAGAGCCTTATAGATAAAAGCTTCTGGTTGTTGTTGGTGCATGCATTAAGAATGGTGAGAAAAGAAATTATGAAATTTACAGTCAGTGCGCACTAACTGCCCTTGGAGCGTAGGCTATGTGGGCAACAACTTGGCATTACACACATGTGCTGACTTTCACATCACACAAACCCTTGTGGACCCTTACATACGAGGAAAGTATAAGGCCAGTGTTAAACTCTCTGCATCAGCAAGGATCTGCATGATGTAGATTTCATCATTTTTCCTAAGTCTACAAAGGCCAACGCAGATGCTTCTGTAGACAGCACACAATTTGTATCCACAAAGACAACGCTACAAGGGCATTTAGTATGCATGCTTGATAATAGTGTGCACATGTGGGATACATAGATCTAATGTGCATGTATTAAATGCAGTAGAAAAGTACAAATCAACAACTACCCATCAGTGGTGCAACAGTTCACGAGCACATCTGCAAGAAAGCGTAATCAAGCCTTAAAGTCTGTCTGCAGTTGTCAATTTAAAACAAGAAAACTCTTCTCTGTGTATTAAAGCTGTATATTTAGATATATACGTTTATATATGTTCTTCGATGAAAGTAACCTCCTCCATGTCGTAAAATGTCTTAGATGTAACTTCTTTAATTTTAGACCTTTTTTTTTTTTATTTTCACCTTAAAAAAAGAAGATCATCTTACCTAGGAAGCCATTTTAAGTTCTTGATATCTCCGAAAATATAACTGCCAAAGCCATGAAAACACACACACACACATTTACAGGGACTTTCTGGAGGCCAAATAATACTAAAAAATGTTTTGATATATGGCATTTTATTTTCATTTTATTCTGTCTGTCCCCTCACCAAATTTCATGTCTATAAGAGTTATATTTCTAAAGATAATAAACTTTTAAGACAGCTTTCCAGTTAAGAATTTTTGATGAAATAACAAAAAAAAAGAGGATGAAATTCTCAAAATTCAGGTAAAATAGAATTTGCAGAATTTAGTCTTAGTCAACTGAGCAAACTCTGATCCAAAGCATTCCTGAAATAGGACTGAATAACCACGGATTGAGCCATAAGCTGCAGACCACAAGCTCCATTCAGTCATCTTGTTTTGATCCTCCACCCTCCTCAGGAAGAGGCCGGTCACGTGTTCCGGCCGCCGTCCAATCAGGTGCCAGAAGAAGACGGCTCGTAATTTTGAACAGACGGAGAGCAGCCAGGCAGCAGAGTGTCCCACAGCTGCCGTTCACAGCCTGCAAAACATCCGCAAATACCTCCGCGAGTAATGGATGTTATCACTCGCTATATCGGATAAAGCGAAAAACTTTAGCGCTGCTTTTTTGTGGTAAACATGAGTTCTCACATTATCACTCCTGGACCGTACCGAGCCACAAAACTGGTAAGTATTAGCCGATAAGTCATTAGGTGGCTAACAACTTGCTAGCTAATTTATTAACGGAGACGGTGTAGCTCAGCTGTTAGCCGCTTTAAATAACCGTTACACTTTTTACGAACACTGAGTGTATTAGTTTTGTTGACACAAAGCTTTTGTTTCTGCTTGGTTTAATTGGATTTTCCACGACTACCAAACGTGAAGTTGGTCACTAGTCTTACTTTACGTAGCTTTTACAGAAGACCTGAAATATTTTAGAAACTACTAACAATTTTCATCGTCACAAGTGTGCTAATAAGTTGATTTATGAATTACCTAATTTGTTTTAGGAAAAGGCTACAAATAACAACCAGTAAAAAAAAAAAGCCTTTCCTGAAATACCAGAACCCAAGGTGCCATATTTGTCCAGTAAACACTCCCAAAACCAACAGAAAGAGAAGCAGGAATTCAAAGACTTTCAACAACAAAAGGCTGTCGTTGCACAATATCAGTGTGAAAATGTTGGTAGTGCTAATTAGTGTATGTCCCTTGGCTTTCAGTTGTTGTATTAATTAAATATATGAGCACTCTTTTAAAATTAAGTGATTAAATCGTCGTCTATTCTATCGGTGATTTTCAGTCACCCTGAACACAAAATCAGAATATATCAGATGATAACAAATGAGTGGATATGATGCGGGTGACTTATATAGGCCAGAAATGTTCTACTTCTTGGGCTACATCTAAAAATCATGTTGTGACTCTTATGTTGATTGTTTATTATCTGCTTAGCAATCATTCAGTCATGATTGAACATTTGGGAACCCCCTTTACACTTTCCTATTTTAATAGAAGGCATTGTAGTGTCTGCAGATGACTCTTTGGTGTCAACTAAAGGTTAAAAACTTAGATATCCAATTAAAGACCCTCTCTGATGAAAAACCATGTTTCTACCTAATTAACATGTCCATATGGTGTTTTTTTTATATGCTGGAAGACACATCTTAAATGAAATCAACACCATGGCTGAGCATTTCTACCTTGAAGTTGCAGTGTTTAAAAAACAACCCCAAAAACACACATTTAGACTTGCACACTTAATATCGTAAAGCTTAGGAACCAATCCTATGAACTTGTAGGGTGGGGAGTTCTGTGTTATCTTCACCAGGATCAGTTACCAGTGCAAACATGTATAGTTTAATTATTACAACTTGTCATTGTGCAGAGCGGAGCAGTTTTACAGCATGTGAGCACAATAGTAGGTAAGCTGGTGTGCTTGAGCTGCAGCAAGCGGGGGATGGATGGAGATAGCGGAGAGGAATTCACAGATGTTCACATTCTGAGGAAGCAATTATGTGCAGTTGTATCTACGCTGTGTATGCATGAATGGATTATTTTCAATTTTTTTTTAAAACTTCCAGATATGTCACTTGACTACACAGAGATGAGCGGTCTAATAGATGAATGGAGAGGAACTTTAACAATAGTATAAAACAGAAAAGCAGCCAACATTTTAAAAGTTTGTGGCTGCTAATGGTAGTGCTCAGTTGTTGTTGATCAAGTTTTTGTCAAACCTCTAATCAATTGGTGCATCAATTTGTTCACTTCTTCTAAGGTTCATGAAGAACAGAAATATGCAACAACCAAAATCCCAGAAAGTAAAAAAAAAAATCCCTCCAGTGAAACCTATGTGTTTTCTCTTGCATTCCTTGAATAACCCTAAAGAAGCAATATCGCTCTTCTGTCAGTAAAGTTGTTCTGAACACCACGATGTTGCTGGTGTTTAGACTCTAATTTACAACTATTGTATTTGAAGCCCCGACTACTTGGTTCCCTTTATTATTGTTGTGGTGCAATTGAATAATTCCTTACAAATAGAGACATCATTATCTTGTTTCTGTGCAAAACAATGTCTGTTAACCTCTCGCCAAAGTGAAAACTGTCTCTGTCTTCTTTCAGTGGAATGAGGTGACTCGATTGTTTCGGGCTGGCATGCCCCTCAGGAAACACCGCCAGAATTTCAGGCACTACTCTTCCTGTTTCACTGCCTCAGCTGCTGTTGAATGGCTGCACCAGCTTCTCCGTAGCAACAGCAACTTTGGCCCTGATGTCACCAGGCAACAAACAGTTCAGCTCCTGAAGAAATTTCTGAAGAACCATGTGATTGAAGATGTGAAGGGTCGCTGGGGAACAGAGGATCTGGAGGACAACAACTTGCTGTACAGGTGGGCAGTTTGCAGAAATTGTCTTTTTATTTTTTCTTAGCAAAACACTAACAAATTTGTGTTAAAGGTTAAGTTAGTTGTGCTCCACACAGACTAAATGAGACCATGTCATTTGTTTTCTCCCAGATTTCCCTCCACTTCTCCTCTGAAGCCTATTCCCTGTCCAGCTCCTACCTCTAGCGCCATTAAGAAAAGACCTTCATTCAGGGACAAAGAAGGATTCTTTAAGTTTAGAAGCATCAAGAAGCATGAGAAGGAATCCCTGGTGAGTTGTACTCAATACAGATTACTGTATTAGTGTATTTACAATGTGGTTTGCAAACTTATGTGTGTATCACAAATATATTGAATCACTTATGTCATCTTCTTTCAAGGCAAATTGCCACCTCATAATCACAGTTTTGTCTGAATGTTAAAAAAAACAAAAAAAACATTTTGTGATAGTGGTTCATGCTTTATTCGTCCTGTCCAGGAAAATGTAGATCCTGCTCTTCAAGTACAGCATGAGGGAGAAAACCAGCCACTAGAAGAGCAGCAGGCGCAGAGACGTGAGCTGACGGTGGAGGATGAACAGGACATCTGGAGAGACATCACACTGACGCAGTATAAACACACAAAATGAACCAAAAATCCCTCATGTTTCTGTGTCATACACATTGATTGCATGCCTCAATAATAGTTTGCAGGGCTCTAGAATAACTTTTTAACTGGTAGCACATGATTTGGTTTATCTGAGTTTTCAATGAGCAGAGTTTCCTGTTAGCAGAACATTTTAAATATGAAGATTGCAGTTAGTCGTGTTCATTTAACTTTGGTGAAGCCAGAAGTACGATCATTGTTAATATTTGCTTTTATGACTTTGCAATCCTAGCACTGTGTTTTTGCCATTGTGATTGAAACGTGTGAACCATCTGAGGAACACAATTTTTTTTAGTAAAGAAGTAAGAAAATGGTCACATATGCAGCCATTTTGTTTACAGTCTGGAGCCCTGGTTCGTCACAATGCAAGCAAAGAAAAAGAAATATGAGACCTAAAGACGAGTTTAAATCCAGAAGGAAGATAGTGAGAAGGATTGTCTTGTATAACTAAAACTTGTGTTTTGTATTTCAGCCTTCAGAGAATTCTTGGTGTTGCATCTCTCTATGAGGTTTTAGACCAGCGTTGTGTCAACCCACAGAACATCATCCATAATATGACAAAAGTCAACAAGCATGGAGTGGTCACACTGGATGACAAGAGCAGTAAGTTTATTTAGCAACACAAACGTTCGCAAGCCAGCTGACAATCATCCTACACCCCAGAATAGTATATCTCTGTAGATGCGTGTATAATCTCATATTTGATAAGATACTTTCTAACATGTCAACTGTTCACATAAAAAGAACTACAATCCACAAAAATATGAGCACTGGCCTGATGACGTAAAATTTTAAAACTATACTTCTTTAGAACAAACTTTTTTGGTATAAGACAACCTACAAATAGTAGAATTCTCAACATTTCAACCAGTCTAACCTGTCAACACGTCTTTTTAGATGACCTTCCACACTGGGTTTTGTCTGCCATGAAGAGCCTGGCCAACTGTAAGTAGCAGCAAGCTACCTACCAACTCTGTCCAGCATAGAAAGGGGAGGAAAATGTTTTTTTTGTATATAGCTATAATTATTTGAAAAGTTTGTGGTTTGTTTATAGTTTGTATCGTCATTGTTTCACTATTATGAATGCTATTTGAAAACGCATTCTTAGCTTTAAGAAATTTAAGATATTGTTCAGTGTTGTGTTAGCTGCAGCTCCCTGCCCTTTGTTTCCAGGGCCAAAGTATGACAGCGCACAACCATCTTACCCCGGCTTTGAAAGAGATGTCTTCAAAACAGTGTCTGATTACTTCTACAGCCTTCCGCAGCCATTACTCACATACGAACTATACGAACTGTTTATCAATGTCCTGGGTAAGTCCACCATTTATGTTAATCCTGTGGGCTTTTCAAAAGCCACTTGTTGGGGTTGTGTTACAGGAAAATAATGATCAAAGGAATTTTTTGCAGGATTTTGTTGATGTGCTGCCTCCACTAAGAGTTGAGTGCTTGACTTCTAACACTGCATTTTGACCCCTAACAGAGGTTTTGGGAGTTTGAGTCCTAACAGAGATATGAGCATCTGTACTTTTTGTGTCTACTGGTGTTTGTTAGCTGATGTTTCTGTATGTACAGTAAAGGTTTGAACTAACTAAACCCTCTCCCTCCCCTTCACTGTCCGCTTGCACTGACCCTCTGCCTGCCCTGCTTGGCTTTCCCTGCTTCTCCATGTCTTCATCCGCCTTCAGTGTTTTGTGGGTACGTCGCAGCTCCCACTACGCAACAACGTGGGAAACGTAAGAAGTCAGATCTTCCCTCAGTTCCTCCTCCAGCCAAGTCATCATTTCGTTCCACAGAGTGTCTCCTGCTGTCGTTGCTCAGACAGGGGACATGTGATGAGACAGAATCACCCATGACAGATGTGCTTGGTGGGAAACTTCAGTCACGACTGGCAGCACTGAAAGGAGGCAGTGCAGGTGATGGTCAGATTGGAGGAAGCTGCATGAGCCTCAATACAGCTGTTTCAATGAGGCCTCAAACCAGGAGCTGCTCACTGGAAAACATCCTCGATGACTCCACACCTCTCACTCGGCAACAGCTGTTTTTGTCCAGCGACAGCCTGGCATCCTGTGCCTATAGCAACAGGAGCCAGGACGACAGCCCTGCCATCATAACACCATACAGCCATTCAGGCTTTACATCTGTGTCTCAAACAACTTCTGTTACGTGTGAAAATGCTCCAGGAGCTGCAGTCAGACATAGACAATCTGTGTCTTCAATAGCTGGACTCTCAGCTGCACAGAGGTTGCGTCCCTCGCGGCCGCGCAGTGTAGGCAGCTGTCTGGACATTGTCATAGAGACCAGAGAAGAAGATGTTAATGAGATCCAATGGCAGGGCCGAGCAACTAGCTGCCTCAATGTCAACACTCCTGCAAGCCAGCATCACTCTTCCTCAGCTTCACGCCCTCCCTCATTGTCTTCACATCATCCCTCCTCCTCCTCCTGTCGTCTTTTTCCCTCCCCTTTTGTATCTGCTGCAACCAAAGCACAAGAATCTAAAGCTACTGCAGGACCCAGACCTGCTTCCAGTACCTCTAATATTTGGACACTCCCTGCACCTGCTGTTGTCCGGCGCTGCCTCAGCTCTGTGGATGTGTCCAAGCCGCCGCGACCTGTTTCACTGTTCAAACCGCCTGTCTGTGTGCCCACCAGCAACTCCCAGCCCCCCAAACCTAAACCTGAGCACAGTAAGACCTCTTCCCTCTACCTGTCTGTGTTTCTGCTTCTCTGTTGATGTCTAATCAAATTAACCTCATCTAACATCTAACTTCTGCTAGTATCAGTTTTTTCCCCAAATTTGTATCTTAGAAATACAGCCCTGTTCAAGAAGATGACCTCACTTTGTGTGTTCTGTACTCTTAGCCTGTTATTTAAAAAGGAAAAAAAAAGAAAAAAGGACCAAAACAGAATACTGTTTGCTGGCAAAAAAAAAAAGTTTAGAAACAGCTGATGCAGCACAGTGTAGCTACTTTTGACTTGTGTTGCTATATTTCATATCTGCTGCTTTTGATTGTTTTTCACACACTTTGCCTTTTGGTTTTTGCTGTTTCTTTTTGTTTTTATTTTTTTTCAAGTGAGAGATTTTATAAACCGGGCCTCCTTACTTGCTGTATTGAGATGAAGTGTCAGATTTGCCCACAACTTTATCGTGTGCATTCTACAGTACAGACAAATAAAATTGGAATTGAAAGAAGCACAAACTTATTTATGCAGCTTTATGTAGCTGTGGAAGCCCAATTTCTCTGATTTAATAATTAAGCGGTAATGATAGAGGTAGTTTAAAGGAGAAACTTGAAACCATGCATTGATTTAAAAGACACCACCACTTCATAGTTTAACAGGCTCAGGAGATGTGTTGGTATTGTGCTTTTAAGACAGCTTGAAATGAATCCAGTAGCCCTGATCCATAGCCATATACTATGTGTCACATTCCTGCACAGTTCTCCTGGAAGTTGGACGTTTCTGTCACAGATCTCCACTTCAAAAAAATCCTCTACATATGGTATAAAGTCAGACTTAGACAAAAAACAATGCTGTTGATTGTAAAGAAACAGCACTGCTGATGTCAGCAAAGTGTTTGATAAGGGAGGACGGGTTCCTCTACCTTGTAGTTTACCAAGATTTTCTACCATCTTCCAACTAGGGGTGGGTGATCTGACCAAAAAAAATCCCCAATCTGAATCGACTCCACCCATGGATTCATTTGGCCTCCTGTGATAATATCATTAGTTAAACATGTGGTTGCCTGGATACAACGCCTGTCATTTGAGTTCAAGGTTAAGGAGCCATTTTAAGCGATTTTAATGTCTTGTGTGGCCAGTTCACTGTGGTGGCAGTTTTCCATTTCAGCTGCCTCTCCAGTGAGGCCAGCAGACAGACTCCAACTTCACCATCTTAGACTACAGCTAGCTACTGTATTTCATCACTTTAGAGAGAAAACAGAACAAGCAATACCATTGACAGCTACAGTCCCAGACGGTGGAGTTGGAGCCTCTCCGCAGGACAGTAGAATACCTGGAGAGGCAGCTGAATGTCATCAAGGACTGACTTTCCTCAAGGTGGGAAACACAACACAAAACAGTGCAGGTGCTAATTGGTTAGCAGTCACTGAACTTTCTCAATAAAATTCTTATATGAAGCACTTTTTAACAACAAGATCTGTGTGATTCATCTGAAAAAAGGATCATTTGCCAAATGAGAATCCACCACAAAATGAGCTCATCAGGTTGCCTACTGCTACTGACACATTAGTAATTTCTGTATTTGTCACGACACAAATTTTATGAGTCGATCTGTGACTGAAATGTCAAAGTTCCATGCAGGACTGCTTTAACGGCATATTACAATACAAATTGTATAATGCTATGTTCATAACTCTTACCCAACTCATGTTGCACCATAGCTGTAGTTGATTAATCTTGTCATCCATTCATCCATTCATCTGTCTAATCTACTAAATGATGTAGCAGTGATGGATGAATGTGGTCATGAAGAGTGATTCTGTATCTGTTTTTTTCTATACTCACTGCAAAACAGAAATGTCTGTCTGCTGTCATTACACTGTGACCGTGTGTTCGTATGTAGGCGTTCTCCAGCCACAGTGTGAGCGCGTAGCCATCGAGGCTCTGCAGCTTTGCACCCTTCTCCTCCCCCCCGCCTCGCGCAGGAAGTTGCAGCTCCTGATGAGGATGATGTCACGCATCAGCCAGAACGTGGACATGCCTCGTCTGCACCCTGCCATTGGCACCCGAACTCTGGTGAGGAGTAAACTGCTGTGACAGTGTTTCCTCTGCTAGCAAACAACACACACACATGCATTGAGCTTTAACACTCCAAATCTTCCCAAAAATACTGAGGAGCAGTGATATCTAATTATGTTTGGTTAGTTTATGGTCATCCACATCATGTTTTTTCTTTATGTCTATTATTTTTGTGTGTCTAAGTGGCTGTTTGACTGTTTGAGTTTGCTTTGTTTACCTTTTTTGTGTTCCTCAGATGGTTCACACCTTTTCAGGCTGTGTCCTGGGCAGTGCAGAGGAGTGTGATTTGGATGAGCTGTTGGCTACCAGACTGGTGTCATTTCTAATGGACCATCAACAAAGCATCCTGTCAGTCCCAGAGTACCTGCTCAGTGCTATCAGTGACCACATACAATACCTGCGCACAGTACAGGTACACCTTAACACTGTTACAGTGCATATGCACAAATGCAAACACAGACACAACTAGTTCATGCAGTAGTAGACTATGTAGTACAATATATATCAAACAAATGCAACCCATGCAAACACAAACACATGGAATCCAGCTAAACTTATAGTTGTGAGACTAACATGTGCGGAAACGACCAGACAATGCAAAACATGATCATTGTTAGTACAAGCAAGAGCACACTTCTCACTTTTATGGCATCTGCCAATAGATACGTTAGTCCAATTTTTAGAATTTACACTTTAAAGAAACCTTTTCTAATGATTGCAAGATATTTAATAATGAGGCATTAATGACTTCACTGATTTGAAGACAACTGAGCCAGACTCAATCAATGAGCTGAGAGGAGGTCTGTGTGCTATGACATGCAACATTCATCTTTTTGGCTTTATAGGAACATTTAAGGGATTTTAGACTGTTCAAGGAAAGTATGGCAGCTCTGTGACCTGTCGACTGCAGTGAAAACACAAAAGTAGTAACAGTATTAATTTTCATTCGAGGCTGAAATACATGTATAAAGACAGATGTTGTTGCTATAGTAGACTTAGGGCTTTGCCTCTTTTCTATGAAACAGTACAGACATACTGATGATTTTTACTGTCCTGATCCCAGGTCCCAATCGACTCTGTTGACGGTGGCGATCCAGTTTGTGCTCCTATGCCAATTTATGCATTCTGCCATCAAATTAGCAGTGCTGAGTTTGAAGAGCAAAAGCTGGCATCTTCTCAGAAAGCCATGGAGGACTTGCTGGAGATCCTGCTGACAGACCAAAATATAAGTGAGAAGGACAGACGCAAGAGACTGAAGCAGGTAAAAACACTTGTTAGACAGAAACTAGCATTCTTGTGTAATTGATTTTAACAAGGATATAGCTGGAGCTGCTACTTTTAATAAGCATGATCTTAAAGACAGCGCTTCATAGAAATCATTTTAATAAAAATAAATTGCCCAGCATTTGTTTTTTAACTTGAGCATGTAGCAAAAACAGTTTTTGTCCCTTTGTTTTGGTTCTAAAAGAATTGTGATCAAAGCCCAGTATGTGCTAAGTGGGGGTTTTTACAACAGCAGAATAAACTTGTCATAGTTTACTTTTTTTTTTTATTTTTTACTTAGCAGCCAACATACAGCATATGCAGATAATGATATGTCAACTCACATTTGCTTGTTTGTCAACTTCATGAAGCTCTATTGCACCGGCACATTACGCTGAACAGCAACTTTTCTATTTTCCAGATGGATATATCTATCTGGGCTGCAAGGAGTCTATAATGTGTTTTAGTTACACTCAAATGACTGTGATGGGTCTGCAGACACAGTAAAGTGTAATTCTGTCCATCCTATTATTGTCTTTGCTTCAGTTTCAGAAGCAGTATCCAGATATCTACAGACGTCGATTCCCCTCCTCAGACAAAGTGACTAAGACGGACAACAAACCAAAGATTAAACCTCCCCTCCTCAACATCAAGAAGACCAAAGCTTTCAGCATCAGGAACTAAACCATCGTAGAGGCCACAGTGTTGTTGCCGTGATTGCTGCACTATTACTGCACTGATATTGCACTCCGAGAGGAGATTTGAAAAGCTCTTTTCCCTTTGCAGCCATAAACATTGTGTTACATTGGAAATGCTGTTATTCTGGTGGTCCCATTTATGTGCTACTATTGGAGTTAATGCAGGTTGGAAGACTTCGACAACAGTTTAGTGTTTTTATTCATGTTGTATATGTAACTATGTGTGTCGACAGCTAAGTAAGATGAAGGCAGATGGACAGACAGTAGATCCGTAGAGCCATTCACACCATTCAGTGTGTTTAAATGTATGTGTTTTTATGAAGCAGGGTTTTTTTTTTTTTTAAGTGTTTGTTATTTTTTCTTCTTTTTTTGCTTGCCTGTTTCTCTATAGGTAGCTGATACTGATCTGTGTGTGCGTAAGTGTGTAACTGAGCTTCAGAGGGCATTTGGGAGTAAAATATGCATTTCTGAGATCACTTGTGAATATGGGAAGAATTAGATGATATATTTCTTAACTTATATGAATGATGACATTGGGAGAGTACTAGTTGTCTTTGCTTTAAGTGTTTCTTGTCATGTGGAAAGTTTTTGTATAGTTTTTAAGACATTTTATATCCTAGATACTTTCGTGTTATTTGACATGCTCTTTTAGAACTTTTGAAGTATGGTCTTTAACCTTTTTTCTTTTTCTCAGTGTTTCTGCTTGTTCTTTTGCCCTTGATGTTTTTCCTTCTGTTGCACTCATTCGTGTGACATGTTACTGTTGGTTTCATAGGGAATGTCTCTGATTTTCAGGGGCTCAGCTTTTTCCATTTACAACGCTGTTATTTTTAAATCGAGTTAGTCGTCTCCAGTTTCTTTTTTTGTGTCTCATCCCTGCTTTGTATATTGATTTAAGAAATGTTTTGCACTGGGTTTGGGCATTGTGGATAACCAGCAAGCTTACGTCAATCATAACAATGGTTAATTTATACTTATTTAATGCATATTACTCCCTTCAGAAGCTTTTCACCAGGCACCCGTCATGTTTTGGGGTAAAGTGTTGCTACAGCTTAAAATGTAATGTTTTCTCAACTTGCCAGCTAATGACTCAGTGGCATTACTCTTTGAAATGAATATGCAGTACTTGCTAACTGGCTATATAAAAACCTGAATGTCCCATGGCATCCATTAATTTCAGTGCAGGATGCTATCAGGTATTTGGTAAGCTGAAGTGAGTTACTAACCCATATCATGTCGGGGTCTTAAGAAATGTAACAAAGCTGACTCAAAATGTGTAACTTTTCCGTTTTATTTATCTTAGGCTATATGAAGTATTAGTTCATCCCTGATGTATGTTTGTTTATACCTCAGAACCAACGGTACGTGTATATGTGTAACCATATATGCATTCATCTACAGTGCTTCTGGCAAAGACTTCTCCAGTGGATTCTATGTACCTACAACTCCTCTACATTGTTTACTATGCAACATTCTGAGAAATAAACCATTTCAGTTTTTCTCTGTATGAGTCTCTACTGCTTTCATTGCTTTTGTGTGTGCCAACAATACTGTACACATTCAGTATATTATTATGTGAAGTATTAAGT